CCGGAAAGTCCTATTTATGTGAAGGAGAGCTTCTTCATGCGACTCATGAGGCACTTGGCGTCACCCGTTCACGGAGGGGGAGGGGGTGGCGGTCGGCCAGGGGTGCACTCGAACCGCAATTCCTACTCCTCTTCGGAACAAACGCCGAATTCAACGCTTCAAAGGCGGCGATCAAAGCGCCAATCATTTCACTCTTCGGCATCCAATGGCGACATCGCTAGACATCAGACATATATCATCGATCAAAGCCATAACAACACCCAAAGCCTACACCGGAACCACTGCTCGACAGTGGCCGCCAACGGCTATGAGATACCGGCCGTCTGTGGCATCAAAAATCACGGCAACACCTGCTTCATGACAGCTATCATCCAATGCCTGTGCAATACGGACCTATTGGCCGAGTACTTCGTCATGAACCACTACAGGGTCGACCTCCAGAGCCATAACAAACTGCACGCCAGAAAGTATGGCACAAAAGGCGAGCTGACGGAACAGTTGGCGCTGTTGTTGAAGTCGTTGTGGTCGTGTATGTACTCGAGTGAGATCTCCAGCAAATTCAAGACATTGATGGCTAAGTACAGCGCCCAATACGACGGCAGTGACCAACACGACGCCCAGGAGTTCCTGCTATGGCTTCTCGACAAATGCCACGAAGACCTCAATATCGCCAATAAAAAGAAGTATAAGAAGATTAAAGTGAGTGACCATTGGATTGATGTACTCTTTTGAAACTTATTTTTTATTGCTATTTAGTGTTGAGTTAATTGATATTTTTGAATAAATGTTCCTATAATTTAATAATTGTAGACATGGCATGGATTAGATGACAAATTTGTTTTTGTCATTTGTTTGATGTTTGACAACAGTTGTGATAAAAGGGTTGACTGTTTTTGAAATGAAAGTTTTATGTTTCAAATAATAGTTGAGATCTAAATTCAGTTTTTTTTAATTAAGTCTTCATTTGTTTCTACACTAGAAAATCCTTTTTGAAGTTTTTAATCTCTTATTTGCGTTCAATTATCTCACGAATTGAATTGTTTTTGATTACACGTCTCTCTCTCTCTCTCTCCCTCTCCCTCTCTCTCTCCCTCTCTCTCTCCCAAATTTTATCACAAGTTTTGGTATTTTTTTGAAGAGTTTTTTGAATTCATATGAATGTAATTGTGATAAATGCGATACACATTACTTGTAGCAATAAATACAGTTAAGAATGGTATGCAATTATTTGCCAATTAAATGCATGATTTTTGTTTATTTCCGATTATACCGATCGATGAATTTGTTTTGTTGAATCATAAATGTGTTATCAGTGTATTTTGGCGTTTGCTTTGCGCTGAATACAAGTCAAGAGACTTGTTGTCAAACAGCGCTGTAATCCACGGCTGATATGCTGAGAAATTTATGGCTTTATTATAATTATCTATGGATTTCTTTGGCAGTGTTTCCAGTCTTTTACAGTCCATTCAATTTTTATAGCAGATATTACTCTCTGATAAGTTATACATAGTGTTTGTATTTTACGTAATCGTTTCCATAATTTATATTCACTTGATAGACATCTGAGGCTAAAGCAAATAAAAAATTATTAAATTATATTTTCATACAATTCATGCAATTCTTGAGTCTTCCCGATGAATGTCAGTATTTGTAGCGTTTATGAATACATTATATGCTTATATATTAATTAAATATATTATATTTGTTTTACTTAAATGAACTGTAATTAAATGAATTATTTTTATTGAGAATTTTAATGATTATTTATTATTTATTAATATTAATATTAATATTCAAACAGTCAATTGAGTCTTATTTGCGCTTAGTTTCAATGAATTGTATCATTAGATGTTTATTCAGTCGAGAGTTCAATGAATTAAGAATTGATTTCAATTAAGACTAATGAATGCAAGACAAGAATAATATACCGGAAAGTCCTATTTATGTGAAGGAGAGCTTCTTCATGCGACTCATGAGGCACTTGGCGTCACCCGTTCACGGAGGGGGAGGGGGTGGCGGTCGGCCAGGGGTGCACTCGAACCGCAATTCCTACTACTCTTCGGAACAAACGCCGAATTCAACGCTTCAAAGGCGGCGATCAAAGCGCCAATCATTTCACTCCTCGGCATCCAATGGCGACATCGCTAGACATCAGACATATATCATCGATCAAAGCCATAACAACACCCAAAGCCTACATCGGAACCACTGCTCGACAGTGGCCGCCAACGGCTATGAGATACCGGCCGTCTGTGGCATCAAAAATCACGGCAACACCTGCTTCATGACAGCTATCATCCAATGCCTCTGCAATACGGACCTATTGGCCGAGTACTTCGTCATGAACCACTACAGGGTCGACCTCCAGAGGCATAACAAACTGCACGCCAGAAAGTATGGCACCAAAGGCGAGCTCACGGAACAGTTAGCGCTCTTGTTGAAGTCGTTGTGGTCGTGTATGTACTCGAGTGAGATCTCCAGCAAATTCAAGACATTGATGGCTAAGTACAGCGCCCAATACGAGGGCAGTGACCAACACGACGCCCAGGAGTTCCTGCTATGGCTTCTCGACAAATGCCACGAAGACCTCAATATCGCCAATAAGAAGAAGTATAAGAAGATTAAAGTGAGTGACCATTGGATTGAAACTTATTTTTTATTGCTATTTAGTGTTGAGTTAATTGATATTTTTAAATAAATGTTGCTATAATTTAATAATTTTAGACATGGCATGGATTAGATGACAAATTTGTTTTTGCCATTTGTTTGATGTTTGACCACAAATTAGTTTTGATATAAGCGTTGACTGTTTTTGAAATGAAAGTTTTATGTTATGTTTCAAATAATAGTTGAGATCTAAATTCAGTTTTTTAATTAAGTCTTCATTTGTTTCTACACTAGAAAATCCTTTTTGAAGTTTTTAATCTCTTATTTGCGTTCAATTATCTCACCAATTGAATTGTTTTTGATTACACGTCTCTCTCTCTCTCTCTCTCCCTCTCTCTCTCCCAAATTTTATCACAAGTTTTGGTATTTTTTGAAGAGTTTTTTGAATTCATATGAATGTAATTGTGATAAATGCGATACACATTACTTGTAGCAATAAATACAGTTAAGAATGCAATTATTTGCCAATTAAATGCATGATTTTTGTTTATTTCCGATTATACCGATCGATGAATTTGTTTTGTTGAATCATAAATGTGTTATCAGTTTATTTTGGCGTTTGCTTTGCGCTGAATACAAGTCAAGAGACTTGTTGTCAAACAGCGCTGTAATCCACGGCTGATATGCTGAGAAATTTATGGCTTTATTATAATTATGCTATTCTTTTGACTCTTATCTATGGATTTCTTTGGCAGTGTTTCCAGTCTTTTACAGTCCATTCAATTTTTATAGCAGATATTACTCTCTGATAAGTTATACACAGTGTTTGTAGTTTACGTAATCGTTTCCATAATTTATATTCTCGACTCACTTGATAGACATCTGAGGCTAAAGCAAATAAAAAATTATTAAATTATATTTTCATACAATTAATGCAATTCTTGAGTCTTCCCGATGAATGTCAGTATTTGAAGCGTTTATGAATACATTATATGCTTATATATTAATTAAATATATTATATTTGTTTTACTTAAATGAATTGTAATTAAATGAATTATTTTTATTGAGAATTTTAATGATTATTTATTATTTATTAATATTAATATTAATATTCAAATAGTCAATTGAGTCTTATTTGCGCTTAGTTTCAATGAATTGTATCATTAGATGTTTATTCAGTCGAGAGTTCAATGAATTAAGAATTGATTTCAATTAAGACTAATGAATGCAAGACAAGAATAATATGTAGTTTAGTATTGTTAGCATAAAAATACTATAGATAAACAATAATTGTTGCATGTTTAAGGGTTTAATGTATGTCTTGAATTTGAAAAGTGATTTCTAATCTATAATTGTCTTGAGAGCCCACACATGACATGAGAAAATAACTATTCATTTGAAAGTCATTAGTAAACAAATTGCATACAATTGTTAACAAACTAAACAAACACGGATTGAAAACAACAAAAAAACTTTTTTAAAGAGCTTTATGTTTGCATAACAAGTGGTGATTAAAAATAGATATAAAAACATTTGTATGTCTTATCTGATGGCAGGGTTTGTCTCACAACCGGACGGACGAGCTGATAGCGGCCGAGACACTGGCCAATCACATGCGATGCAACAGTAGTTTCATTCACGACTTATTTCAGGCACAGTTGAGGTCGTCGCTGGTGTGCCGTTCCTGCGGCAAACACAGCAACACATTCGACCCATACCTATGCCTGTCCCTACCGGTGCCCACGCGGCTCACGCACACGCTATTAGTGAACGCCGTGTTTCTCGACCGACGCCCGCGAGTGGTAAATGAGTTGTCTTTTTGAGAGTGTTTTCTATGATTTTTAATGTCTTTTTGTGTCCTTTGACGGCACCGTTAGGTTCAAAACGGTGTGTCCATCGAGTCTTTGGCCACAATACGCGAACTGCGGGATAAAATCAGCCGTTTGTTGAAAATACCAGAGAAACAGTTGGTTCTGTTGATGACCGGCGAGGACTTCGGTCTCAAAGAGTTGGCGAAAGACACGGATATAGTCCAGGAGACCGTCGAAGACATGCAAGAGATATACGCGTTGGAGACACCAAAACCACAGCCCAACTATCCCGTCACTAATAGTAGCGGCGGTGCGTCCGGTGCGGAACAGCAGCTGACACTCGTGTGGACCAATCGGGTAGGCATTGGAAATCAGGGAAAGATATTCGGCTCAGTATTCTCGGCGCTGGTGTCCCGCGAGGCCTCCTATAAACAGATCCAATTGGATGTGTTGAACGGTATGCGGTCGCTCTTGAAACGGGACATCGACTTGAGTGGTGTCGGCGCCGGTATGAACCTAAGGCTGCGAGTGATCGGCGGTATTCCCGGGAAGTCCTATTTGCCCGAAGACGTGGACCATCCGCTGTACGTCCAGACGGTTGACAAAGCGTTGATCGGCAGCGAGGATAAGGAGTATAGAGGACCTGTTCACCTGAAGCTAGTGGTTGAATGGGATCTGGACGTGAGAGACAGTCTGATTGTTGGCGGCGACCAAATGGATGAGCCGGTGGTCGACAGTTCGGTGGAGTTGGCGAAGGCTCGCTCCCAGAAGACCAATAGAGCCACACTTCGCGACTGCTTCGACATGTACTTCAAAGAGGAACGGGTGAGTCAATTGAGGCCAAAGTGTATGCCATTTATAGGTTAACTGTTGTTCGTTTGTGGGGACAGTTGGGTGCCGATAACGCGTGGATCTGTCCGTCGTGTAGGCGCCGACAGCAGTGCACCAAAAAGCTGAGCCTATGGTCCGTCCCCGACATCTTCATCATACATCTGAAACGCTTCCGACAGTCATCGCAATCGCAACGAAATAAAGTCACGACACAAGTAGTGTTCCCTCAAAACGGTTTGGGTATGTCGTGCCAGAGATCCCTTTCTCCAACAGTTGTGATTAAAATGTTGGTTCCCATTGATTACAGAGATGAGCGCCTACATAGCGCCCCGGTATGTGTCTCAGACGAACGGAACCATAAACAACGGTCTGCCGGCTCTGTGGTCGCCGTGGAAGAGGTCGCGTATGTTTAGCCGACTGAACCGTACGGACGATAATACTTATGATTTGTACGCCGTTTGCAATCATAAGGGAAATATGCAGAGCGGCCACTACACCGGTATGTCCTCTCACTCACACATCCCTATCCACCATAATCTCAATTATATAATGCCTTTCCATGTGTGGAACAGCCCATTGCCGGAACCCAATCGACAACTGCTGGTATCTGTTCGACGACACGAAAGTAGTTCCGGTGACCGAGTCGTCGATCATAACGGCCGACGCCTACATCCTATTCTATCAGCGCAGTAGCCTATCGTCAGCCCTGTCCTCCTGTGCGTCGTCCTCCACGTCCGGCTACAGTAGCTCTGCCAGCAGTTACTACAGCGATCACTGGGCCTTCCGAATGCCGCCGTTTAACTACTGGTCCCCCAAAGCCAGCAAAAGTCACGACAACTTGTCGTCCGAAGTTGTGGTCAAAGGTTAGTCCTTTGATACCATTAGCTATAAGTTGACGTATTTTATCATTAATTGATGTATTGTTTGACAAATAGAGAGAATTAGTGCCAAAAGCGTGAGCACAACACCGCCGACGCCCAGCGCCCCGACCACAGCCGCCTCCGGCGCCCCCCTCGACACTCGCCGATGCTATGCAAGCCTGCCTTCAAAGACAACTCAAATCAAATCTAAGTCATTGCAAACCGACACCAAAACAATAACACAAACCAATAACACGACGACTCGCGAGTCGATTAGCGATAGGCCAACACCGGCGCCAATGAGCGTCCAATGCATTAATAGTAATAATGATCACAAACTCAATGATACCAATCGTTGGACACTTCCTGAGCCGAAATACGTAAGCGATGTGTCGGTGGTTCCCAACGAGTCCGATAAGACGGCGGTGTGTCTGCCGGCGCCCCTTAAGCCCGATACTAGCAAATACTGGGCCATCACTTCGGTCTAACCACTAACCGCTCACTGAGTGGAACGACTGACAGATGTGGTCACTGTCTGACTGTCTGTCGGTCACATAAACCCCAAACCGAGTCCTCATGTAATCAAATACGCGATCCGTACGAACAAAACGAGTTTTAAATACAAAACACAAAACAAGAGTTAATTTAATGAATGAATTATTTTTTGAATGAATGCCTGAATCGTACGAACGATGAATATATAAATTGTTTATAATATGAATTCCTCTTCATTCCATCCTATAATACCGGTTCCAATGAAACGACAAAAAAGCATTTAATTTTGCACTAAATATATGTTTTTATAATTATAATTACATTCCTATTGAAACGAAACGAAACAAACGATTTGTTTTTAAACAAGTATTCAAGAATTGAATGAATTTTTTCGGACAAAATTCTTACGAAACAGAATATTCTGTTGTTTTTAGTCAACTATACGATAGCATAATGTTTGGAGTATTACTCGAAGTTATTATTCAAATAATAATTAGTCAATAAATTTTAGTATTAAATATAATACATATTACTAGCGATTAGTGTTCGACTAAATCCATAATTAGTGTACAATTTTCAAGCGTTTTTAGACTCACTTAAGATTAGCATTGATTTGAAACAAAACAATTGGATTTTTAGGAGAGTTTTTAGCGTTCAATATCATAAACGGCCAAAACATGTGTTTTCAGTGTATTTATGGCCAAAAACCAGTTGCGGCCAAACATTCGCCTCAATTTGCTCACCATTTGTGACACCCATTCCCCACACAAACCAAACAAATGTCTGACGCCTTGACTGTCACGCGTGGGAAGTGACCGGTGGACCAGTGGTTCGCCACAACTATTTTAGGGACAGCTAGTCATGAGTTAGTCATTACATTCACACAAACGTTAAGTGCAATTGCGAGCCATAGGACACCCCTTCCCACCCGATTGAGGCGTTCAGACATTAATTATGATTGCATTCCATTGGAAATATTGATTATTATTATGTTTATTACCGATTATTACTATATTTTGTGTTTTTTTCATATTTTTATTAAAGCGGTTGTGATTATAATGAGAGAGAATTATGTAATGTTATTGAATAGAGTTATGATATATTGTATTATAACACAAGAGTTTACGAAAAGAGTTGTTTGAATTGTTTTTTAAATTTATTTAATTTATGTTTTCATTCATCCGAATGACACGAACTCTAAAGTCTATTGTAAATACAAATCACACGAAATGCAAACAAAATGTTAATAAAACTTATATTTAATTTAAATTATTAACGAAATAATTTGTAAACTATTTATTCAATTTCCTAATCATTATGTCGTTTGGACCGCACTTTGCGTGTCCGACGGCTGATCACCGCCACCGCCATCACTGGTCGTCTGTATGTCAGTCGCCGTTCCCTTCAGCGTAAACACGACGGGAAGTGTCTTTAGCTTAGGATTCGTGGCCTGAAGTAAGCGAATCCACGACAAGAGTGAGTCGCGACTGGAAGTGCCGGTCGCGCAGACGGCCAGCACTTTGCCATCGTCTTGGATGTGGATGTTCTTCATTGGCGACAACGACTCACTCTTGTCTTCCTTCCCGAACGTCGACAACGGAATGGACGACACGTCTGAAGGGATCCAATCATTAGTGCCACAAATGTGTGGACAAACACCTTATGAACTGACCGTTGAGTTCGTCGTTATCGAGCAGATCGTCGTCTCTATTATAGACCGGATTTGGATTATTGGCGCGAAGTATGAAGTAAGTGATGGAAACCATTCGCAGCCACACTTTGAAGGGCCCCTCCACGTACACCGTCTCCCCGTCCAACAGCTCCCACACGATCTCCCTCTGTGTGGGCGACTGACCCGAGACTATCCATGTCTTGTCCAGCGAACTCTCCACTTGAGCCGTCTGTTCAACGAATATCACATCTATTTATTGGTGAAATGCTCTCAAAAACCACTGACCGATAGGACACTGATCTTCGTCTGGACGTCAATACACATGCGTTTGATGGCCAACAGCGCCAACTCGAGCGCGTCGTTCGGTAAGGGGTCGGGCATTGGGAAGGGGTTGGCGTTTCTGAATTTGGTCATCCAGTATGTCATTCGCGCGCATTTACGCCACGGAGACGAGTATTTGCTGAATATCTCGATAATCAATGTCTCCATCTCCTTGTCCGGCATTATGCCTACCCGTCCCCACACACACACACAACCAACCAATCAATTAGACATTTAGCGCACAAAGTGTCTGTCCGTATGAACACACATACCATTGGTCTCCATAGCGCAGAGTATCTCAACGGCTGTCCTCTGCTCCATGGGATGGTTGAAGAAGCCGGCGCTGAACATGTTGTCGGGTCTGAAGCGTCCCTTTGGGAAGACATTCATCAGCGCCTTATAGACCTCGAGATCCCTGTGAACGCCGTACTCCTTGAGGTACGGGAGGGCAGCGCTGATGAACTCCACGTATCCCTGTCTCCGGACGTGCTTATGGTTCTCGAAGTTGTCCACCACTTGCAGGAAGTGCTCCTTATGTCGGTCCGGGATCTCCTCGAAGAGTCTGCTCGCGAGTGTCACGTCCTTAGCCCTGACACCGGGGATGGCGGCGTCCCTCCCGTCCCCTCCTTTCGGCTTACTTTTGCCCCATAAGTGCCGAGCGATGGGTCGACCACTCAATGGGTGTCTTAACACGTGGTCTGCAATGAGATGTGCTTTGAATTGCGNGGGGATGGCGGCGTCCCTCCCGTCCCCTCCTTTCGGCTTACTTTTGCCCCATAAGTGCCGAGCGATGGGTCGACCACTCAATGGGTGTCTTAACACGTGGTCTGCAATGAGATGTGCTTTGAATTGCAGTTCAAATGCATTGACACTGCGATACATTTGTCGCATATATTGACTGAAATTCATGGCTGAGTTTCAATTGATTTCATATATCGACTAAAAATAACTGATTTTATGTGTTATTTCTCCATATATTTCGCACAAACTATTGATTACATTATAATTAACATGAATTGTAATTAAAATCAAAGACAATTTGTATGTTGTTTTCCGTAAAGACTTTTAAATAAATTTCGTAAACATTAGAAACAAAACCAAAAATAACGCCAAAAGGGGTGCAAAAGCCATGCATTGGAAACGCATTGCAAACACGTGTTAATCACATGACATACTGTGCCGTCATTTATGGACACAAAGTCTCACGTGTTTTGTCAATATTTACAACTATTTTGTGACACCTTTTGATTGGAAACACAGTTTGACTGCAATTAGCAGTCAATTGAGGGGACAATCAAATCAAATGCAATGCAAGTCTAACCACAAATCCAGTCAACCATTGTCTCCACACTCGTCGCACACCACTAACTGTCACTTGAATTGATCCAATCAGTGGCCGCTCACACACGCAATGCAACCGACAATTGTCTCAACACTGACCACACTATATGTGATCCACGGGTGCCTTAAGACAATCGCCGCACTCAACGACCGCAACGTCTTGTTCAGGGAATCAGTGGACGGGTCGGTGGAGTCCGGGAACTACTCGTACTACTCGTACAACGGCGCCGACAAACTCCTACTGGTGCTGACCACCCATTCCGGTGACGCAGACCTCTATGTCTCGCAGTCGGACGCATCGGGACGTGCGATGAAACCGTTGTACGACTTCCCGGACCACGACCTCCAGAGTGTCACCTGTGGTGAGGATGTGGTGCGAGTGGACGACAACTTCCGGCGACCCATCGGTATCGCAGTCTACGGCCACCCGAGCCATGAGACGAGTCGATACACTCTCGACGTGATTGGCGTCCACTTCTTCGACGACTTGGACGCCACGGACGATAACTACGTCTTCGCCACCGACGATGAGCTCATCTCTTATGAGGAGTTCTTCGGCGAACAGTTCCGCGGTTTGGATAATAAAGTGCCAAAAAGTCGCCACAAATCGGGCGACACTTCCGGTGCCCAGAAGGGGGCCAAAGAGGGCTCGGATGCGGACAACGGGTCCGAGACCTGGGATTTCGTGATCAACCTGTTGGCCAACATTCTCCACATTCTTCTCGAAGCCATCCTTTGAGTGGTGAAGCAATTCATATGTATTTATGACGAGAATTGTTAACAAATTGTGTATAAAATAATGTAATTTTTATTAAAGAGAGAAAACTATTGAATGCAAAATAAATGTTAGATTTAATGTACAAAACAGTGGACAGTAATGAGGGCTACTATCGTACGACAGAGTGATTATATAGACAGCAATAAATGGTAACACATTTGCCTATTACTGTCCGGCGGGTGGAGGGGGAGCTCCGGTAGAGCTGACCCCCAATGAGACTACAATTAAGTAATGTTTGAGTGATTTGTGTTACGACTGAACGCATGCGCGAAAGCAATCATCAGATGTTTACACAAACAGTGCATTGGATTTGCCGTCAAATCACCAACGAGTGGACACCTATTGTCTCATTCACTGGCAAACCATTCATTGTTACCACAGATGACCACTCGATCACGAGTAACCATACATTCACTGACCACTCCATCACACCTATCGTCCGATTGATGGCAAACATATTGATGTGAGTCTTGTATTGAGCGCCAACTCATCACTCAATTGATTGCATCAGACAATGGATACCATGGATGACGGTATGTATGACTCGCAGTGTTTGCCATCTAATGGTCACCTCATTCCTCGGGAGCCGCAGATTCGGTACGTCTGGTGGTGTTGGGCGAGGCGTCGATGCTGTCGACGGCTATACTGCGGGCCAACCAGAGGGGCACCGCTTCGTTGAGCCGATCGCACAACACATCCCACACACGACTGTCCACTCTTGTGGCCGAATATGAGGAGGAGGACGACGCGGAGGAGGCGATCGCCGACCCACTACTCAAGAGTCTGATCCGACTGAAGGCCAAACTCCGCAAAGACAAACTGGTGGTCACGGATCCGAACTTCTTGAGGCCGTTCTGCGAAGTGATCAAAAACAAGGACGTGAGCGGACCCGTCACTGGACTCGCGCTCCAATCGATACTCAAATTCATAAACTATGGGCTCATTGGCAGCGAACCCGCCGTTCAGATGATCAGCGACTCTGTCACCAAAGCCCGCTTCATAGGCACCGACACCACCAGCGATGAAGTGGTACTCATGAGGATATTGAATGTGTTGAAGGAGTTGATTGTCAGACGCTTCGAGAGCCTAACCAATGGTGCCGTCTGTGAGATAATGCAGAGCTGTTTCCGCATCGCCTTTGAGCCCAGACTTAGCGAACTGTTGAGGAAGAGTGCGGAACAGTCTTTGGTAGATATGGTTCACGTGCTCTTCAGACGGATCCCGGAATTCAATCACGAATTTGTCGACGAATTGTGTTTTCTGAAGATGGGATCTACTCGTAACAAGAGATCCAAACATAACATCAATAGTAATGCGAATAAGGATTTCGTGAACAAACAGAGCATTAGATTCAATAGAGAGGACATCAATGGTATGAATGAGTTGTTGTGTATGTCTTGAGAACTCATTGTCTGATCCATACATTGCAGACAAACGACACCACTATTACGGGTTGGCCTGTATTCACGAGTTGTTGTCGTATTTGACGTCTTTAGTGAATCCCTTACCCGAGGGTCAGAACACCGAAGCCATGATTAACGTCGGACTCACTCTCTTGACCGTCAGTTTCGAGACGTCTGTCCACGGAATCGGAAGTAAACACTGTTTGCTGTCCACCGTTAAGACAGACCTCTGTTGGAATCTAATGCAGGTTTGGACACATTTAGTGGCAATACCTCTAATTGCGAGTATAATTAACGCCTTTCCCTCTGACAGCTGTTGCAAAGCGATCGGCCGTTGAGTTCGTTCGCCGCATCCCTGCGCTTAGCGTTTCTCATATTCACGAATCTGCGAATGCATCTCAAGTACCAGTTCGAGGCACTCCTCACCCGACTCATGGACATCATCACCACTGGAAACGCTCCGTTCGAGTTCAAGGAGATCTCAGCCGAGTATTTGGTGGCCTTTTTCCGGCACTTAACGCATTTGCCGCACGAAATATATTACAATTACGATTGCGATCCCTTCGCCACCAATCTCTTGGAGGACTTGTTGCAGATCTTCTCGAAGAACTGCTTCCAGACGGTCGTCAATACGACACAGACGTCGATGACAAATGTGATGCCCTTTCAGTTCTCATCGATGCAGATGTTGTCGTTGGACGCGCTGTTGGCGATCCTCAAGAGCTTACAAAAGGCTGAGTTGTGTCGGGAGGACGTGATGGTGGTCTGTCCGGCCGTTACGTACGTGAATGTCGTCCACAATAAGAACAGCAATGAAATTGAAATGAAGGACACGACTAAAGCGGACGACGACAGCGCCATATCTGTTAAGACCCCCGAAGAGGGTTTGCCTAATATTGTGGCCGAAGAACCGCAAATGGCTGCCACAGAAGTGGTGGCAGACTTGCCGCCAGACTCACCACAAGACATTGATGTCGGTTCCATAAGAATTGGATCGATGGACAGATTGGACGAAGTGTCGACTCCAGTGTCGGAAACTAACGAGACTTTTGAGACGATAACCGCCAACGAGTTGAAGGAGGTGTCGGTCGCTGCGGTCGACACCAACAGCACCGACGTGTTGAACAGCGAGTCGTCGACATCGCGGCCGAAGACATTGGTTTCATACAAATACCCGAAGTTAGAGAAAGTGGCGACGAATACACTGGAGATAATCGACCAAAAGAACCGCAAAGTGATGTTCTCGACGGCCACCGAACACTTCAATACCAAACCGACGAAAGGCGTGCAGTACCTGATGGACAACCGGCTGATCGCTCAGGACATGGATATCGTGTCGTTTCTGAGAGACAACCCGAAGCTCGACAAGAAACAGATCGGCGAATACTTGTCGACCAAAAAGCATTTCAATATTTTGCAGACATTTGTCGAGAGTTTTGCGTTCAAAGACACGCGACTGGACGACGCCCTGCGGCTGTTCCTCGAGTCCTTCCGATTGCCGGGTGAGGCACCCCTCATATCCATGATTTTGGAGCACTTTGCCCATCATTGGCACGTGAGTACCGCCCCGGATGCCTGTCCCCCAAACCAAACTGTCCATTGATGACCTAATGATGTGTCTGTCGTGGTGTAGGAGTCGAACGGCTGTCCATTTGTGAACGAAGACGCGGCGTTCAGTCTGGCGTACGCTATAATTATGCTGAATGTGGATCAGCACAACACGAACGTCAAGAGACAGACCAATCCCATGACGTACGACGAGTTCAGATCCAATCTGAGACAAGTGAATGGCGGCAAAGACTTTGATCCCGAAATGCTTAAAGAGATCTATTTCGCCATTAAGACCAATGAGATCATAATGCCGGCCGAACAGCAGGGACTGGTCAGGGATCGGTACCTCTGGAAGTGTTTGCTCAGGAATAGCGAGACAGAGAACGGCGTCTATTGGTATATGAGGTGTCCGTCCACTGCGGGCGTTGAGTGCAATAAATCTGGTGATAGTTCTGGTGAACAGCAAAACAATAGTCAAAACTTGAGTTTAATGCTGTCGACACTGAATGGGCCCATATTTTCGGTGCTGTGGGGCCCCACTGTGGCCGCCATGACCTTCGTGTTCGACAAACTCAATCCCGACCAACAGTCCGGACTCACGCGACGCCTACTCAACAACGGGTTCAACAGCTGTGCCCTCCTGTGCGCCACTTATGGACATCTCGACAATCTTGTGGTGAGTCTATCGAAGTTCATAATGAGTTCGTCGTATATGCCATCGCCCGGCGCGCCCAACAAAAGCCAAATGAGTGGTCAGTGGGCACCGGGCGGGTCCTCTATGTCTACCAAAAGCCAATTGGCTGCTCAGTGTCTGTTTGGCATAACCCGCGAGTACGCCAACGAAATGCGCGAATCGTGGAGTAATATCATTGAACTGATCCTCAACTGGTATAACGCGAAGCTCTTGAACGACGCCTTCGAGATCGAAGACTTCGCGCTCGACTCGAAACGGATCCGCTTTCGACGGCGAGACAGTCAGAAACAAAAGCCCGAATCGGACTCTTCGTCGACATTCCTCTCGAGTTTTTACTCGTATTTCGCCGGAAATCCCGGAACCCAACAGCAAAACGAGTCGACCGGTGAGTCGATGGTTGACTCGAAGGGACAACTGGTGGCCAAAGAGACGACTCAAACGGGCGGACAAGCATTTAGCGGCCAAACCACTGGCCAACCCGTTAATAATTATTGTCAGCCATTGCTTCTCATTATAGAAGAGTCAAAGTTTCTTCACATCGACTCTCTCTTAGCGCTCATTAAAGCCTTAATCAACACTCAGTTGAGTAGCGATGAGTTGGACGACGACATCGAAGTCTTTAAGTTAGAGATACTCTTGAAAATCATTTTAATGAACAGGTATTCCATTGTTTCGGTAGTTTTTTCATGATTATAACACAAATGTCTGTCTCTGTTATACAGGGATAGAGTGTCTGTCTTTTGGGTACAGATATCGCGATATATTCTACGGCTAATGGTTTTGTGTCCCAAAAGTGAATACCTGTCCGAACGGGTTGTGTCCACAATCTTCCGACTGGCCATTCGGTTCACTCCCAGACCGGACTCATTGAGTGAACAGATATTCCTATTATTGTGTCATTTGTTACTGACGTTTGAGCCAAATATGATTCAACGCAAGTCAACGGCACAGGCGTTGCACTCATTTGTATCGCAATGTAATTGTTATATCACTCGCAGTCAGGACTGGGCTATAGTTTTCAATTTCCTGCTGTCTGTGGGCATCGGATATCAAAGGCGTTCACCGAATGTCACCCAAAACGAGCCGAATGTCAACAGTATTCAAAGCGACGGCGAAGACAGTGTCAGTGATAACCCGAATGCAGTCGCAGGCCGTGGCTATACCTCGGACTCCGAGCTCGATGTCATGAAAACTATTGAACCCAATCTGAACAATACGTTCCGATTCTTCGCCGACACCCAGAATCAGACGAACTCTGCGTCCAATTATCGGATCTTCGATTTGGAGGCCTTCGAGAAGAGTACAGAGATTTTAACGCTAATCATAAGAGAGGTTTTGCCCAATAATGTCAAGAACTTCCAGTCGATGGCCGGCCCCGACGACAGCAACGTCTACACAGTGGCGCAGTTGGCTGTGGACGCGCTCCAGAAGTTCGTCGAGGCGTCCATTAAGATCCAGTTGAGTCCGCCCGGAAGGACGGGTCAGTTGCGCCGATCAGTTGCTCATAATTCGCGCAAATCGAGGGCCAACTCGCGGGCCGCCGACGCCTCCAATAAGTCGCGACTCTCGCGTATAGCCAACGCTATACTGTCATCGAGTGAGTCGGACGATGAGGACGAGCCGCCGCCCACTACTGCCACCACTGCGGCCGCCAATCAGAGTCAACCCAAGTTCTCGTCGGTCACCGAGACCTGTGCCCTAAGACTACTAGATTTGATGCATTACTTCCATCTGAACGCTGCGCTCACCGTCGAGAACAACGCCTCCGAGTTCTTGTGGTCTGCGCTCTGGTGTCCATTACTTCAAGGTTTGTGTCCAACGATTGCATTATGTTTTGAATGATTTGTTCATTTTGTTGCGTTTTGTTTGACAGGAATCGCGCTTTTCTGTTGCGACTCTCGTCGACCGGTGCGCACCTGTGCCCTCACGTTCCTCCAAAGGGCACTCCTATTACACGACCTCAAAGTGCTGTCGGCCTCGCAGTGGGAGAACTGTTTCAATAAAGTAAAACATTGTTTGCTTTAATCGCTTGAATAGAGTTATAATTAATTGATTTGTCGCCGGTTTAGGTACTGTTCCCACTGCTGTCCAAACTACTGGAGCCGATCAATATGTGTGACCCCATAGGTATGGACGAGACACGTATGCGGACAACGAATCTGCTCTGCAAAGTGTTTTTACAGCACTTGACGCCACTCTTAACGCTCTCCACATTCACCGCCCTTTGGCTGACAATCCTTGACTTTATGGACAAATACATGAGGGCCGACATGCAGACCGACCTCGTCGTACGTCTCCACACATTCACCCATTCCTTCACCCATTCCTTCACCCATTCATTCACCCATTCCTTCACCCATTCATTCATTCACTCTATTAATCCGATTATTGTTTCGCACAGAAAGAAGCGATTCCGGAGTCACTGAAGAATATTCTGTTGGTTATGGAGACGGCCGGCTGTTTCAACGACACACTGGCGGCCATCACGTGGGACCGGATCGCCGTCTTTCTGCCGCATTTACATCAGGATCTCATTCCCCCGCAAATGAATGCCACGCCTGCAGACGATAACAGCCAACAGCCGGTCGATGACAGCCACCGATCCTATGAATCGCAGCCTCAATACGAGACACCAATACAACCACCGGTTCCGCCACCGACTCATTGCGACGCAACCATTGCTAACAATGCTATCAATTCATCGCCAGTTCCTGAAGTGGGTCAGCCCGTGGAAGGAACTCTACCATTGGTGCCGACGCCCACTGTTTTAGGGAACTCTACGTTCATTGATATGGAAGAGTGCCCTAAAATGCCGTTCCAAGCGGTGGCGCCACAGCTGCCACCCGCGCAGTACCACCCGATGCCCACATACCCGGGCACTATCGAGCCGTTCGTCCCCCAAATGGCCGGTCGTGGCACTCATGGGCCGAATGCGCCTCAAAGAGAGCCCATTCACTATCCGGTGCCGAACGCCCAACAGTTGTCGGCCTATCCCTGGCCGGCGCCCAGCGATCAGAAAAACTATTGATTCATATATTTGTGTTATTCATGAATTGAAATGTTGTTTGAGATCTCTATTGCAAAACAAATGTTATATTTTTAAAAACTATTTATATATTTGCGAAGATTTTTAAGACAAATAAAAAAGCGATTTATTAATTATTTATTAACTGTTTGTAAAGTAATTTTGTGTCATTTTATATCGTTTTAATTGTTAACCTCTGATGAGTGGATAATAAATGAATGTTTTATTTCTATATTACCGGTACAGTTATTTTTGTTACATTTTTAATTGTATTAAACATATTTCTAGAAAAATGCTACAAATATAACAAATGATATAATAATACAAGTGTTTATTTGTTTCATTTGTAATAATATATATTAATTTTGACTTAACTTTGATTTTCAAAAATATTATTTTACGAGCGTTTAGTCAAAAACGCGTGAATCGACTGCAGGTCTCGACTCAACCAATCGATGTTCACACGAATCGATTCCAAAGACTGTTTTACTGTGCGTTCGGTTCCGGGGAATGCGTTTTCGGTGAAGAATGTCTGCACGTCTTGTAGAAGTGAATCGACTGCAGGTCTCGACTCAACCAATCGATGTTCACACGAATCGATTCCAAAGACTGTTTTACTGTGCGTTCAGTTCCGGGGAATGCGTTTTCGGTGAAGAATGTCTGCACGTCTTGTAGAGTGTCTTCAGTGCAGAAGTTTTCGGTGATGTGCTGTTCATACAAACCATACAAACCATTAATTTTCATTCAATTCATTGATTGATACAAACCTTAACAAGACGTCCGATAAGAGTTCCGCTTTCGTAGCGACGTCTCAACTCATCCTTGTTTTCCTTAAAGAACTTCCACGCGATGTCCCGACCATTCCTCGTGAGCCCCACCGATATTATCACTAACACTGACTCATTAGACCGAACGTCACTCTAAACACCAATTAATGACAATATTTTAAACAATTATTTGTTTTCTAAAACAATTGGTACCGAAAGAGCGAAATCCAGAACTTTTGCGATACGATTGGAGTCTTTAACAGATGCCAGACCTAAGGATAGCCTTCGCTTCTCTTCGTGAAGATCTGACTCGCGATACAACTATTGATCGATACAATCGATACAATCATACAATCATTCATTCATTAAATCAATTATAAGACAAATCCATAATTTCTTACTTTAAGTAAAGTATCAAAAGTCTTGTCGTTGCAGTCGATAGCGACGGCCCGATAGACGGCTGATCTCAGGTCAGGGGGTATGACATGACTGCCCGCACAGTGCGAGTCAAACAGGTTTTTGGCCTCAGATATGACGCTCTGATCACCAAAACTAATCAAACGATTGATTACTAAACCTCTGAGAAGAGTATCCAAATGCGTCTCTCCTTTGATTGGTTGCCAACCGAGTCGTGAGTATGTCTTCGACAGCAACTGTCGACCGAATGCGTGGAACAGTTGCAGGACTTCTGAGTTGTGGGACAGGAGTTGATTGAGTTTCGCGAGACAGCCGTCGATGGCGTTCCAAACGGTGTAGTCGTCTTCGTTGGCGAAGGCGTCCATCAGTTTGAGGACCTCTGGAGTGGATGTCCTTCCGCTCTGAACCAAAGCAAAGACATCGCTCTGAAGACCCAATCGATCCAAAGGCGGAAGAGTTTTGTCGACAATCGATGGCAACAGAAGTGACAGCAGTTCTGGAGAATAGTTGACTCGATATACTCCGACACAACTGGCGTTCAGTTTCAGCCATTCATTGGTCGAGACGTTCGGCACTTCGATGTCCAGTGTCTTGGAATCCATTAACACTTCGACCGCTATTTGGTTGGGATCTGAAGCTCTGATCACAGATATAGGGATCAGCCATCGAGTGGTCGACTCATTCGCCGGCAGTTTTCCGTCGGCGCAGAACTTCTCCTGAGTTAGGCTTAGAATCACTGAATCCTTGTCGCGACGGGACGTCACCTTTGGATCAATTGATGGTTTAGTCAATCAATAGACCGCTTATCGGATCCAATACTCACAGATATAACTGGATACCCCTTCTGCAGAGTCCAAGTGCTCATCACATCTCTGACCGGTTTATTACTCGACTCCTGGAGAGCAGTCCAGAGGTCTTCAGTCTTCGCACTCTTATAGCTATGAAGAGAGAGATAGGAATGCATTCCTTTGCGGAATAACTGATCCAAAGAGACATCAATTAGATAATGGATGAGACAAATGGTGGCAAACAATGACTGAAAGCAATACCTCGTCGCCAATAAACCGGTGAAGCATTCGTATGACAGCCGACCCCTTGTTATACGAGATCTCATCGAATATCTCATTCACTTCGGAGGGATGACCTATTGGTACTTCGATGGGATGGGAGTTGTGGAGAGCATCCAACTGGAGGGCCGGTAGGAAAGTTTGGGAAACATATTGCATCCAAATCTGGTATTCGGGGAACAGTTGGTCGACACACAGGTATTCCATGAATTTAGCGAATCCTTCGTTTAGCCACAGATCTGATCCAAACATAAAATCATAAATGAATTGATAATTCAAACAAAATGATGGCTACTAACGGGTCCACCACTCCATTGTGACCAGATTTCCGAACCATTGGTGGGACACCTCGTGAGCCACTGTTAACGCAGTACTTTGTTTGCTCATTGACGACGAGTTCTTGGGATCCATAAGAAGTGCGGTCTCCCTATAGGTAACTAACCCCCAGTTCTCCATCGCCCAGTATGCGAAGTCAGACAACGCTATTAAATCCATTTTAGGCAACGGATAGCTAATCCCGAAGTAGTCGTTGTAATAGTTGATCGCTTTGGCCGTCACGGACAGAGCGAACTCTCCCTGCGATGCCTTCCCTACCGGTGCGTACACTCTAACCCTCACCCCATCAGTGGTCGCACTCTCGACGAAATCAAACTCTCCGACAATGAATGCCAACAAATATGTTGACATCAATGGTGTCGTCGAGTACTTCACGCGCTTAACACGAGGATCGTCTTCGAGGACCTCCTCTGAGACGACATCAGTGTTGGAAAGAGTCATCCGATCGATGGGAACCTCAAGAGTGACGGCAAACGTGGCTTTGATGGCCGGTTCGTCCCAACCCGGAAAGGCTCGGCGCGCGTCTGTGGCCGCGAACTGAGTGACCGCTGCATACCTTTCCTCCCGTCCCTCACGGCTCTGGTATTTGCTTCGATAGAAACCTATGAGTTTGTCGTTCAAAATACCCGTGAATTGAATGCTTAAGACACCGGTTCCTGAGGTCAAGGGTTCACTGAATGTGAAACAAGAGGTTTCCGTTTCATCACTGCTTTGGATCCGCAATGGAGTCAACTCTGGGATCAGTTGTTGTGAACAATTGGTTTAGTCTTAAGATTGGGTTCAGAAAAACAATTAATGATTACTTTTGCCATTTTGTGGCGTAAAAGAGGCGGAAGTGATGTCAATCTCGAGTGAGTTTAAGACAATCTCATTGGTGTCCGAATTGATGCGCACTTCGATGTCTTCGGATCCACTGAACGTCAAACTCGTGAGGTTTGGCCTCAAAGTGATGGAGTAATGGATTGGAGTGACAGTCGATGGCAAGCGTTTGAATGAAGTCATTGTCTTTAGGCTTACGAGTGGACACCGATTAGCAAAATAATAATCACGAGATGTCTTAAGACTTACCACAACTTCGATGACAATTAAGAGTCAAAATAAGAGATAAAAAAGTTTTGATAAAAACATTGAAAAATAACTCAAAAATAACGTAAAGTGTAATAACTTTATGAATAAAACTTTGTTTTAATTAATAATTGTTTCGATGTTTTTATAATTGATTTAAACATTAGTTTATAATTGAATTGATATTTAGTTTATATTTATAGCGAAATTCAATGAATTGTGTCTCAAATGCAAGTGTTTTGTGAAACAATTGATTCAAAAATAGTGCCAAAAGTTTGCGAGACTTTTAAACCCAGAAATGAATGAAACGATTGGTTACTGAAAAGTTGTAACACTTTTTGAATGGCATTTGATTTACAAAATAATAATAATTGCATTGAATTTGAAGCAAACAATTGACTCTTTGACACCACTTTGCGGATCAAATTGAACTCAAGATATATTGGATTCAATTGTGTGATAATATGCCACAAATGAGAGAACATTCGCACCTTTGGTTTAGACATTATCGTTATAATCATTACTATCGTCTCGAAGAACTTTCTTTTGAAATAAGGCATCAATTGGTCCCAAGAATTGGTGACTTAAGACACGCGTTGGCCATCATTTGCCACGACATCAAAGCCAATGAATTGAGGTTTAAGTCATTGATTTGTTCAATTGATCGCAAATTATCTGATGTCCTGTCTTATAGTTGTTCACGAGAGGTATATCTGCGACTACTTCTGGCCACTGAATACTGTTTAGCTAATGGTTGGCGAGGATTTGTGTATGAATTTGTGGTACATTTTAATCATATATCTAATGGTTTGTCTCTATTATAGTTATCTTCCGGATGACCACTTCCGGCGAGACTTGGCTCAAGACTACTGTCAGCTTATTGTCCATAAGTTGAGACAATTGCACACCAAATAACGGTTAGACTATTGGACTCACGAGTTGGTCATAGACTTGACAATTGTTTCGGGAATTGATTTTTTGTGACATTAGTTGTCGGCATATATTAATCGTTGCATTTATTTGTGTGCCAATCAATGAGTCAAACAATTATGTCCTAAACTATCACTCAATTGAATGCATTTCTATTTATTTACACAAAAATTCATTGTAATTAATGACATAATTTCTATGACCGTATATATTAAACAACTGTTAACGCCATTTATGACAGTATTTTCATTGATTTTATGTATTGTAATAACTAATCAAGTAATAAATTAATTTTATAATATTCATAGGCATGTCATGCAGTTTGGCATTAAACTATTGATGAAGTTTTAAAAGTACAATAAGTTTTCAATCAAACGATAAGAAGTGAGTAAAAGTAAGTTTAAAGTGATTATTGACTTACAGTTTATGGTTTTATTGCTTAGAAACTCATAAAAAGTTAAACTTATAGTTTATTTCATGGAAAAGCCTTTTATCGACACATTTCTAATAGTTTTGCAAAACGTTTGAATAGTTTGTGATAAAAATATTCACTTATTTGTCAAATGAATTGCAATTGAATTGCAAATCAAATCAATCGCTAAACTGTTGTGCAGTTTGTTATGCAGTCAACACTCATTGCTTTCAATGGATTTCAAGTTCAATACAAACGACTTTATGGGCGACGCGTCGGACGACCAGAAACTGTCACAAAAGTGGTCAACAATGAAGACACAGGAATCAGTTGATGTCTCACACGATGTGATTCACGAAAGATATATAAGATATTCAAATCAAACACAGAGTGAAAGGTCTGTACGAATGGATGCAATGAATACCAAGAATTGGTGATAATTTGTGGTTTGATTTGTATCTGAATAGGGATTTGTCTAAAACTGATTACACGTACGCCAAGAGTTTTACAAACACAGAGTGAAAGGTCTGTACGAATGGATGCAATGAATGGCAAGAATTGGTGATAATTTGTGGTTTGATTTGTATCTGAATAGGGATTTGTCTAAAACTGATTACACGTACGCCAAGAGTTTTAGTTACAATCGACGGATAGACCGCTTGAAGGCGTTTGAGTGGTCGGTGCCGAACATGTCTCGCAAGAGTATCCATTCTTCGGCTGTGAAGAACTCTTTGCCTTCGCTCGCAATACTCAGTAATTATTTGACATAATTTTGTGGTTTTTTTTGTTTCATTGAATTCGTTATGTTTTTGTTAATCACAGGATTCAGTGCCAAAGACAACAACTATGCAATGAATAACACATTAAACCATCGAATACTCAATGATTATCAACAAAACAGGAGGAATGTTACGGTCAGTAGACGAGTGACCAGTTTATTGAAGAATATGACCACAAAACTGATGGATTCTGTGACACCCGATGCTGTGAAACGAGTGACACATAAGTGCCCTTCGCTTTGGTCTATACTTCCAGTGCTTCTGTTGACAGGAATCGCATACTTAATGAGTCAACATATGTCTAGTCCCGTGCCGTTCACTCCTTTACAAGGAATCACTAGTGATATGTCGTCCCAAATGAATAGCAATCCCAATGAGAAGTGCAGTGAATTGACTGAAAGATTGAACACAATTAAGGATAATATGAAGAATATGATGACCAGATCTGAAGTAAAATCAATGATACGTCAGGCGCTGGCCATATATGCCGCCGATAAGACGGGTCGACCGGACTTTGCTTTGGAATCGACGGGTATTTTGAACTCATTTGATGTTAATATCAATTATTTCCACTAATAATGTCTTCATATGTGTCTAAAGGGGGTTCAATAGTAAAGGGCCGGCACTCAGAAACTTACGATAGGGGTGTCACTCACTATCGGTTATTCGAAATCCCGTTCTGGTCCTCATCGGTCAGCCCGAGGGCTGTCATTCAGCCGACAATAAGTCCGGGCGAGTGCTGGGCCTTCAGGGGGTCGATCGGTTATCTAGTGATACGACTGTCCCAACCGATAGCACCGACGGGTTTCTCGTACGAACACATTCCCAAACAGATCTCGAGGGACGGGAACATCGATTCCGCGCCCAAAGAGTTTCAGGTGAGGGCTCTGGACGACGAGTCGGACACTTCGGGTCGACTTCTGGGGAATTATGTGTACGAAGACAACGACAGTCCGATGCAGTACTTCC